CCTTGACTGCCATATTTAACGAAAAAAAAACAAAAAATATTTTATAAAATACTTTCTTTGCAATTACGAACCAAGTAGCCAAAAGTTAAATGTTTATTGGTCTAAGATATTTTATAATATAAAATAATATAAACAAGTAAACATAATATAGTCAAAATTTGATAATTCACATAAGTATAGAATCAATAGATACATACCAATAGTACTTGAGCTTACGCATTATCAATTTTTTTTAGACAAATACAAAGTGAATATTTAATTAAGTAAATAATACTCATTATTGAAAATATTTTCCTTACATAATTTAAAAATAAAATAATTTTTTAAGAAAAATTATATTTTTTTATATTTTTCATCGTCATAATCGTCTAGGTATTTTACTTTTTTTGAATGATAAGATACATAAAAAACAATTTGATTAAATTTAAATAGGATAGCCAGATACAATTAAATAATATAAGGGTTTGCTTAAAATGTTCATAGCAATTCACTAACGATTAAACTTGATTAAATTAAATTTTGTGAATATTCAAGGAAATATTTAAAAAAGTTATTTTTCTATTAATACTCATAAATTATTATAGAAGATTTTCTTAAGTTGAATAACAAAAGTAGCAATACAAAAACTTCTAAGAATACTAAGCTTTGAAATTAGAATAATATAAAAAGATTTTAAATATTTAAGTAAGTAATATTATTACTACGATATTGGTCAACAGATAAAAATAAATCAACTTTTATAACCCTAGTATAATTTGAAAATTTTTCTTAATTTAAACTATAAGAAATAAATATTATCTTTTATCTTAAAATATAAAAATTATAAAATTTATAAAAAAAGTGAAATACTTATGATAGGGTTCAAACTTCATATCTACGAAAATCGGTGAAGATAACAACATAATGGAATCAACTGGAAATGTTCCGAGTTTCATTCTCCAAAAATTAAATAGCGTTAGATGCGTAGCTTTTAAAATAAAAGATTTGGTAAATGTTGTCAAAGATGATTTGATTGAAGCTGAACTGCCGATTACAAGTAACACTAAGATCAAGCACGGCATAGTTAGGTACTTTCAGAGAACAAATAAGTAAATGAATTTAAAGAGATCAATATAACCACGTCGTTTTTGATAAAAGCTGCAGACAACAATATATACTGGATGGAGTGTACCTACATTAAAATGCACATTACATATTTAGATAATAATATCATTGTTAACAATTCAATTACATAAAAAACTTATCAACCACTTATACAATAATTATCATCATGTATCATAAATATAGTTTTTTTTTTTTTTTTTTTTTTTAGATTATGAATGGTTAGTATTATAAATTCAATTTTAAATAAATTTTTCTAAATCATAAAACTCATAAAACCTGATATAAAAATGTTCAAATATAAATAACCTCTAAAACCACAAAGTACGTTTCATATCAATAGATATTTATAACATATTTTTCAATATACTTATATACCTGATATGAGTGCAAACTTTTACAAAAATATTTTTTTTTACTCTTAATAATTATTTCAACATAAACCAAAAACAAATTATGAACATTCTAAAGTAGGATTTCAATGAAAATCTTATAAACATTATATTTTACCATTTATCATGAAGTAGCAAAGTACTGCATTGGTTATCATTGAGGAATAATAAAATAAAATCATAACTACCATATTTTTAAAGATAAAATAGTATAAATATATTGAAGTATTTTTCAGTTTCAAATTAATTATATTACCTCAATTTACCAATTTACAGCAACTATTCTTCCCGAAAATGATTTTCGTTTATTAGAGTTAATCGCTAAATACTCGTACTTTTCATAGACATTTTAAATGTCATCAAGCGACAGTACTTCCACTAAAATTTAATCGTGAAATAAATATTTTGAATTTATGAACATGCATATAATAAATTTTAATCAGAAAATAAGAAGATATAAATTAAAATAAGTACAAAAATAATAATTACAGTACAAAACTACAAAACAATAGTACAACTAATTTACGGTTAAAAATGTTATTATATATCTAAATGTATATTATGCAAAGGTACAAAAAAAAAATATAAAATATCAAAAAAATGAATGTGTGAATAGTTAGGCAGTGTGCCGTGTGCGTGTTATGTAGTATTAGATAATTTATAGATTTATTCTCAGTAAACTTATAACGTATTGAACACGCCTAAATGTAGATTGTAGATACATAGATAAATAATCATTCTTTATTTAAATAACAATAACGCATTATGCACAATATTTTGTCAGGTTATACGTCGGGTTTATTTTCATAATCAATAAACTCAACACAATTTAAACCGATTTTTCAAGATGAAATCACTGCAAAATTATACCAGGAAATTATTGTTAAACGTTTGAACGGAGATCATTACTGCTCTAAATATGAGCTGTTGATGCTGTTTGAAACAACAATAATATTTTTAATAGCTCTGTTAAAGATTTTTGGATGATGTTCCATCGTTAATAATACATATATAACTCATGAAATGGTCCAAAATTACACTAAATGATTTTTTTTTACCAATGTATCTAAAATGATTTACGTATAATAACAATACACACTATTGATAAAGATATAAACCCAACTTTGACGTTTTAATCATTAAAATTTCGTGTTTTATAATAATTTTATATAATATTCTTTCAATGAATTATATTACTTGAATTCACAAATAAAATGAATGATAATTTAAATTGGCTATTGGAATATAAACGGAAATGTCTTCAAACTAAAAATATTGATAGTCTTAACTTTTTAGCTAATTATTTTCATTATTGTTATCATAATTATTATCGTTTTGCCCATTATTATTACAATTGTTTTTGTTATTATTATTATCATAATTGCAATTATTATTATAATAATTATTGCCATTTTTATTATCATAGTTATTATCAATTTTATTATTACTATTATTGTTATCATCATTATTACCTAATATTAACCTTATAATCACTTATATTGTTATTTTAATTATTATATACATTTTCATATAATTTTAAGTAATATGCCGACTATAGATATGCTATTTTTTTTTTTGCTGTATTTAATATCAGTATTTATGTTATTCAATTTGTTATTTGTATTATTATATCATGATGCTATTAAATTTTTATTCTATTATTTTCTTTACATAGTCATAGAATTTATTCAATTTTATTATTATTATTATTATTATTATTATTAAAATTAAATATTGTAATACTATTAGTGTATAATTATTATACTTAGAAATGTAGAATGCTTATAATTAATAAATATTAAACACATTCATCCAAATTTTGTAATGCTTACTTTTATTTACTTTTTTTTTCATATTCTGTATCCATATACCTTGGCTCTTTTAAAATAACATAATAATTATAAAATAGGTATATTACATTATACAATTTATTAACGCCATTAAAGTAGATTATTTTTATTGATTGTACATTTAAATAAAACATCAGTAATCACTAACTCATAAGTTGATAGGTTTGTAGACTAATTTTGTGAAAAACGTATTGTAATAATAATAATTGTATTTCATATACATATCATCAAAAAACAATAACTGATTATTATTTTGAATTTCTTAGAAATTTACTCAACATTGTAACTTTCATACATTTTTCTTCACTTCTATGTAATTTGATAATTTTTAATATTTGATAATTATATTGACATAACAATAAGGAGAAACTATCAAATATCAATTAATATCCTAATAGAATCCCACAAAACATTTCATAATCACTGTGGCTTAATAATTGGAATTTAAATATTTAAAATTAATAGTTGATACAATATTGAATATATATTCATTTATTTTTTAGTTAAAACCAAAATATTCATCGATAAATACTTGATATTTGTACTTAAGTATTTAATTTTTAATCAAAATAATATGCTATATAATGGGTTTTAAAATGTAATATTTACAATTTTATTAAAAATTAAATAAAAATTTATCTTTAAGTCAATAACTATTTCAATTTAATACTACTTGTTTATGATAATTCAGAATGAATGGAATGAATCAGTTAACAGTGGAAACATTAAATAAAATCACGTATATTGATTTTGATCCATATTTTTAAAATCTGTTAATGAAAATATTGTAATCCTCAATCATTGTTCTCGATACCTAATCAGTAAAAATGAAACTCATTTTAAAATAAATACATACATGAAAAAATTATCCACAAGATAAAAAATTATAAAAAAAAAATGGTGTTATACACGACAAATATTCCCATGGTTCTTGGTTTTTGCAATAAAAGGGAATGGCATTCAAGAAATAAAAATTTGGGAAATAATTTAAATTGTAACACAACTTTCCAAAAAGAGTTAGTGAGAATTATTCGTATTATTTTTAACTTAAACAATTTTCCGTTTGGAAATAGCCTTAAGTTTTTTTCTCAGGTATACACTAAAGTGCTGCTGTAGAAAAGGTCCGTTGAAATATACTGATACAAGTGTAGCCATTCTGACTTTGACAATACAAACCTTGTGGTGTATCTGATCATTGAACGAAAAGTATCCAACAGTATGTCCATACACAGAAAAGAGCATTTTGAAGTAAAGAAATCATTTTCTTTAAAGAAGATGTTATATCCACATAAATTGTCAAGGTCTTAAAAACGTACAACATACCAAATTTGTGATCAGTAAAATCTATTTTATATCATAAATCGTAATTTAAGAGTGAACTTACCTATAAATAATAAGAATAGCTAAATGCACAATTCTTATTAAACTTAAAATATCATTAAAAGTTTTCTGGCGGCGTAGGGAAATTGGCGCTCCCATCGCCCAGTGTACTTCAATAAGTGCACTGCAATAGCCCTACCCTGACTTCAATTAGTTGGGGTAGTCTGGTCCTCCAGGTTGGGGGTTTAGCGACGGACTAACGACCTGCCCTAGTAAAAAATCATTGTTAAGAAACCTACTACTACTAAGCCTCGGACAGATCTTTTGGAAAATAAAAATGGAACTTAACCTGGAAAACCTGGAGTATTTCGATTCGGAATATGGAACATTAGATCTCTATATAAACCTGAGACACTAAAATGTATTACTAGTATAGTCAAGAAATATTATGTAGATTTAGTTGCCCTTAAAGAAGTGAGATGGCCAGGACCTGGACATCTCAAATCAGATAATATGACAATATTTTACAGTGGAAGCGGTAATGGAAGACACGAACACGGAGTAGGTTTTATTGTAAAAGAGTCCTTAGTAAAACCAGTAAAGAAATTCGAAGCAGTTGATGATCGACTATACTATATACTAATTGAAGGGAAACCCTCTAATATAGCAATAATTAACTGTTATGCACCAACTGAAACAGCAGATAACGATTATAAAGACTCTTTCTACGATAATCTAGAAAGAGTATATGACATGATACCCAGTAGCTACATAAGAATTCTAATTAGAGACCAAAATGCTCAAGTAGGGCGTGAGCATGCTTTTAGACATACTATAGGAAAATAAAGTATGCATAGTGAAAGCAATAATAACGGACTAAGGTTAATCAGCTTCAACGTAAAGAAATTTACAAACAAACTTGGGTATCTCCAGATGGATGAACTAAAAGTCAGATCGATCATATACTTATAGATAAGAGATACAAATCTAGTGTTAGACAAGTGAGAAGTTATAGAGGAGCTGAAGTCATATCATCATTTAGAACCAAACTGGCTAATAGTTGGAAGCAGAAAAAACTAAAAGGTAGAACCCGCCTGAAAATAGAAAACACTAAGGATCGAGAAAAAGTGAAATCATACCGAGAAATACTAAATAATGAACTAATGAAAATACCTCAAAATACAGACCAAAACCTTGAAGAAACTTGGAAAATAGTTAAAGATTCAATAAACAAATCAGCTGAAGTATTTAAAAAAGAATACACATTCAACGGTAAGAATTCATGATTTAATGAACGGTGTAAGGAAGCTATAGAAAGACGTGCAGAAGCAAGATTAAAAATTATGCAAGACCCATCTCCTGACAATATAGAAGAATTTGTTAAAAACAAAAAAGCCGCAAGCAAAATATTGGGACAGGAAAAAAGAGAAGCGGAAAAAAGGATTTATTCAAAAAATAGAAGAACATAGGCTCAACCCAAGGTTCTTCTTCAAAAAATGTAGGAAGGATTTAAAGCTCAAACTCGTATAGTCAAGGACAACAATGGAAACTTGATAACGAATGAAGAAGGCATCATTCAGAAGTTTCAAACGCATTTTAAAAATATCTTAAATGTCGATCAAGGAGTTAGGGAAGAAAGTGTAAATATAATCTATCATACGGCATAACCTCTTGTAGAGTAACCTAACCGCGATGAGGTAAAGGATATAATCGCGACACTGAAAAACAACAAAGCCCAACTCTGTGCTATTAAAGATTGGTACTCAACAACTTGTAACCAAAATTCACGGGCTACTAAAAGAAATATGGAATACTAACCGAATACCTGAAGATTGGAAAACAGCCGTTATCTGTCGCATGTACAAAAAAGGCGATCCTATGGATACAAGCAATTACCGGGGAATAGCGCTTTTAGACTCATGCTACAAAATCCTATTCCTGGCTTTATTACGAAGATTAGAGGTATATTCAAAAGATTTAATAGGAGACTATCAAAGTGGTTTTATAAGAGGAAAGTCCACTTCAAATCATATTTTCACAATCAGTCAAATGATGAAAAAATTTTATAAATTCGGAAAGGATGTCCACATGTGCTTTGTTGACTTCAAGCAGGCTTACGATAGCATAGTTCGGAATAAACTGTGGACGACCCTAGAAGAAATGGAATACCCAAAAAACTCATCGATCTCATAAAAGCATGCAACACGAATACAATGTGCAAAGTGAAGTTTGGCAATGGTACATCTGCCAGTTTTGAGGTTAACACAGGACTCAAACAGGGTGATGCCTTGTCGCCAGTTCTCTTTAACCTAGCGCTTGAGAAAGTGAACAGGTTAATGCCAATGCGACAAGGCATGGAGTTGTTATCAAATAGTACACTTCTTGCCTATGCAGATGATATAGTTATAATAGGCAATACGCGACAAGATGTAGCGATAATAACTAATGATTTGTTAAAAGCAGCGAAGCCAATGGGTCTAGAAGTAAATCAGGATAAAACCAAATATTTAGTCATGACTAGGGGAACAAGGGATATCTCGGACCTAGTAGTAGAAAACTATACCTTCCAACAAGTGGAAAACTTCAAATATCTTGGGGCAAACATAAATCAATACAATAATATGCATAATGAAATTAAAATTAGGATATCAGCCGCTAATAAGAGTTACTACGCCTTGGAAAAATTGTTCAAATCAAAGCTCCTCTCTAGACGATAAAAGGAACGCCTATACTTAAGTTGCCTACGGTCAGTTCTAACATTTGCATGTGAAACATGGTCGACTACTAAAGGAGATGAGGAAAAAATGGCTTGCTTCGAAAGAAGAGTTCTTAGAAGGATTTATGGACCTATACTAGAAAATGAAGTGTACAGAAGAAGAACTAATATAGAAGTACAACAAATTTATCAAAAACCCGGTATCAACGCGTACCTTATGAGTAAACGAATTGAGTGGGCAGGCCATGTATGGTCAAATGGTATCCAAAAGAAAGCTCTGAAAGGAAAAATCAATGGAAAAAGATCTAGGGATCACCCTAGACAGCGCTGGATAAACAGGGTTAAAGAAGATATAAACAAGTGCGCCCAGGAATTAACTTTAGAAGACAGTATTGACAGAGATAGTTGGAGAAAAGTAGTAGAGGCAGCGAAAGTCCTTCGAGGACAGCAAAAGCTGAAGAAGAAGAAGATTAAAAGTTTTCTATATGGTCTAGATAGTATTATTACCATTGAATTTGATAATAGGCCAATTTAATGGAATATTTAAAGTAACGACACAAAATAGATTTTTCTGAACGCAATTTTGCCATTTTTTTAGATTTGTAAAACAACACATGCGGGTGTAACATCCTCTAAAACAGAGATCCCCAAACTGTAAGTCATGATCATATTTTTAAATAATAGATTTTTTAGAAATAATATGATCATTAAAATCGAAAAAAAAAGTCATCAAATGGATCGCCAAAATTTAAATAATTTTCAAAACGGGTCGTACTATAAAAAGTTTGGGAACCTCTGCTCTTAAGTATGGCTAAAGAACGACTATATTATCTCGTTAAATACAATATTAATTAGTAATGGCTTACCATTATTATAGAATAATACCACGAATGACAATAATTACATCCAAATAAGACCACTGGACTCATGTTTATCAATCACAAGCAACAATACAGAACAAATTGAACCGATGGACTTGTCTTGTGGAAAAGTTTCAAATTCAAACGTGGTAAAAAAAACACACTATGAGGTAAAGAACAATTTTATAATATAAAGATACTCATCAAACGTAAATCCATACATTTACTATAATTTGCATTATAACAACAAAACTTATAAATTAATCGTTCGATTAAAAAAAAAAATTATTTCTTCTACCTAAACCATAAACATTGATAATTTTTATTCATACATAGGTTCTCTTAGAACTCTTTACTGTAAAAACGTATAATATTATTAGGTAAACATTACATTTTTGTAATTTAATAATAATATTATCGCTGAACCAATCATGGCCATAAAAATTATACATACATAACACAAACTTTTAACCGTGTATATTTTCCAGATAAAACATCACAACGACTTCGAACCCTGTAACTCCGACAGTCCATTGCCGTTGTCATCAAATATAAACGAAGCGACTTTATTGATATTGAAGAGCGTTTACGGTAATAATCTATTTTGACAATCATCATTTTAATTCAATATATCTACTCATTAATCCAACAAAAATTAAATCAGAAAAAAAATAATACATATTCTATCATATTTATATTTCTAAAGTAAAACTACAAATGATAAATCTAAATACTTTTTTATTTTTATGATATTACTTTATGTTCTCATATAATACAACAATATCATTTTGCACTGCTTGCCTTTGTAAAAGGAGATTATTTTATCGCGATAAACAGTAACTTATACTCAGTAAATGTATATTGTATGTATTAATGAAAAAAATGTTATCGTGGTTTTTACCAACAACGTTAAATCGTTGAAAAATATTATTTTATACACTACCCTGCACCACTATACTTTAAATACTTTATTTATAAATTATAATGCATATAATCAATTAACAGTACTGGTCGGAAATCCAAAATGTTTGTATAATAAAACAAAATCCTCAGAAAATAACCGACCTTATATTTACTGCACGGTTTAACGCTTGATTCGCATTTCACAGATATAAAATACCACCGGAAGCCCAACTGTGACCAGATATTCCACGAAGATCCAGCCAACCCCAAGCTGTACGTGTGCAAGGTGTGCGCCAAGCACGTGCGGAGCAAGTGGCATCACTTCCAGACGCACTACTCGCGGGACCATAAGTGCTCGGACTGCGACGCTGTGTACAGCCGCATCGACACGCTGAGAACGCATGCAAAGAAACGTCATCACACCGTCATACCGCGATACTATTACGGCATCCCGGCCAACGTGTGGCATCGCGTCGTCGTCCAGCTTCCGGATCCGCTGCCCAAGCCAACCAGACCCAAATCGGCGAAACCCCCCAGCAGCGACCATTGATACTAACAGCCACGACTACGAAACAGTGCGCGTCTGCCGTACGTATGTATACATAATATTTTTATCGCTTGAAAAGGTAGACTGACTTGACGAGTTGTTAAGAGAGGGTGTATGAGCTTAGACGACAACCCTCCCCCATAGGCTCAAATTCGCACGTTTTTCGGTATTGTCGACGTCCCACAAACAATGTTTTATCGCTCTTTTGTCAATTTTTATTTCTAAAACCAGTCCGTACCTACCTGACTATTAACGCCTATTATGACATATTGTTTAAAATATAGTATGTATAAATTAATTTAAGTACCGGCCAATAGTACATATTTTATATTATACTCGTCGCCGCAAACGCTTCCCGCTGACTTAGACGCAGTAATTATACTGTATACATAGAATATAACATATATAATGTGTATAATATAAATATACACTATTATGTATATTTGTGACGTTACCACAAAACAATATATTAAATATTATATTAATATATTTATATACTTAAATTAGTTAATCACTTATTATTCAGTAGTCGAAGATCCTTAAAACTTTTATTTACATTTGATCACTCCATTTAATTGTATCAACAATCTCCTAATATTATATAATATCTTATAATAATATTCAGATCGCACTCAAAATCGTTTTGCCTACTTTTTTTCAACGCCATGTAAATAGTACCAAAATAATATTTTAAAAGTAATATTGACTATCATCGGCTACTCGTGAGTTATATACTATATAATTTATACATTGTTTATTTTAATCTATATGTCACCTCCAAGAAGCTTATTTTGTACGTCGTATGAACGATTTCTGTAGTTTTTTTTTTTATGTCACGATACAACATTTCGATATAGAAATTTTAGTTTTACCCATTAGAATATTGATCGTATGACAAACAAAATAAATACCCAGTTACCGTGTTATAGCATATTATGTTCGAAGTGATAAAAATATAATATCTATTAATTATTATAGTTAATACTTTCGAGTATCAAAATAGTTTATTAAGTAGTATCTTATAAAACTTTATTACTTAATAATTGTTAAAAAATATATTTATCGCATTAATCGTAAATGCTTTTATTATTTAATATCTAGGTGTATTCTAAGATATTTATTAAGTAATTAGAGTTTAAGATATTGTATGTGTGTACGTGTAAAATACTTATAATTGTAATAGTTATACTATTAAAAGATTTTGAATTTTGAAACAATCTTGTCAAAATAATAATGATATTTTATCATATCATACGTAAAAAATTATATTTGATTAATATACATTGCATACCTAAATAATATAATAGTAAAATATTTAATTTCTATATTACACAATTATAATGTCTAATCCTAAAGTATGTATGCAATATATTAATATATTTTTACATATTTGTAGCTACATAAAAAAAATAAACCATAAGTACTTTTACACTAAATTCAAAA